AAGGTATCACCGAGCATGCAGTGCAGCGCCTGAACCTCGCAGTCGGTGCAAGCTTCCCAGTCACAGCCAAGTGCACCAACCCTCATTGCATGGACTGTAAGGTAGTCGCCATGTGTCGCGCCATCAGTTGCCTCCCACCTGAGCCATCCACTCGCAAGCAAGCACTGGCAAGCGCTGAGGGGGCAGAGTGGGTAAAGGCAGAGAGAGAAGAGATTAACAACCTCCTTGCACAAGGTACATGGGTCCTTGCACCACTCCCTCCCGGTAAGAGAGCACTGAAGGTTAAGTGGACATACCGAGTGAAAGTGAAAGGAGATGGTACGCTTGACCGATTCAAGGCACGCCTGGTAGCCAAAGGTTTCTCACAGATGCCAGGCACGGACTACACAGAGACCTTCTCTGCTGTAGCCAAGTACACCACTGTCAGGTGCCTCCTGGTAATGGCCACGGTAAAGGATCTCCACATTCATCAAATGGATGTGAAGAATGCCTTTCTTTACGGTAAGCTCGACAAAGAGATCTACATGGTACAGCCTGAGGGTTACTCTGATGGTACCACCAAGGCCTGCAAGCTGCTGAAGTCCCTCTATGGACTAAAGCAAGCACCACGAGTCTGGTTCCACACCCTTGAGGTATCACTCCTCACCCAAGGTTTCACCAAGTCACGGTTTGATGCCGCACTGTACATCCTACGCACAAGTGAGGGGGAGTCCTTGTGGCTCCTAGTCTATGTGGACGACATCCTCCTTGTGTCAGCATCCCTGAGTTTCCTCACACGCATCAAAGGTATGCTCACCCAAGACTTTATCATGACGGACATGGGTGAGCGCTCACACTACCTTGGTATGAACATCGTGAGGGACCGCACCACCAAGTCACTCTTCATCTCACAGCAGAGGTACACTGAGAAGGTCCTTTCAAGGTTTGGTCTCCTTGACTGCAACCCAGTTGAGACCCCACTCCCCTCAGACTTCACGCTGAGCTCGCACGAGCAAAGCATTGACCTTCCACAGTTGAGTCAGAGGTCACTGAGTTTGAGGGTGAGGTCGAGAGCCTTGAGCCTCCTGAGGACATTGGTCATGACACCTATGCACCACACTCCACATCCCATATCACACCTCTTGAGCTCTCACTCTACCAGAGCCAAGTGGGCAGCCTTATGTACGCCTCCATTTGCACCCGTCCCGATCTCGCCCATACCGTTGCCATGCTCTCTCAATGCATGACATCACCCACTCGCATGCATCAGCGTGGGGCACTTCGTGCTCTGCGCTATCTCAAATCAACCTCTTCCTTTGGTCTCCTCTTTCAAGGGTTTGAGGGTGCAAGCATGCTGTATGGCTTCACGGATGCAAATTGGGCTGGGGATATCACCACCCGCAAGTCCACTGGAGGATACATCTTCATGCTTGGAGGGGCGGCCATCTCTTGGCAGTCAAAGAAGCAGAGTTGTGTGGCCTTATCATCCACGGAGGCAGAGTACATGGCTGCGACCCAAGGAGCCCGAGAAGCAGTGTGGATAAGAGGTCTTTTGAAGGACTTTGACCTCCCACAAGAGAGCCCCACTCCCATCTTCATCGACAACACGTCGACGATCGCTCTCTCCAAGAACCCCGTCTTCCATGGAAGGACCAAGCACATCGCGACGCAGTATCACTACGTTCGAGAGCTTGTGGAGCAGAAAATCGTTGAGCCCCTGTTTTGCCGCACGAGTGAGCAAGCGGCGGATTTCCTCACCAAGGTCGTTGCACGCGACATCTTCATCAACAACCGTGTTCAAGCCGGGTTAGTCCCAGCTGCTGGATTTGAGGGTACGGGCTTGCAGTAAGGGGGAGTGTTGTGAATGGCACGCTCTTCACGTGCCACGCTACTGTACCACTCCAACCCCTTCCCCTCCAAACACCCTCGACACATTTTCCTAAGAACCCATCCAAACCACTCAACTCCTACAAAGCCAATTCCAACCACTCAAGATACAAACTTCCTTTTCCAACTCATCCTCTCTAACTCAAGCCTATCAACCACCTCTTTAATTACTCCCAACCACCATAGCCGTTCCTAATCCAACTCAACTAAGACTTCAACCAAAATTCCTATTCACCTCCAAGCCCCACCCATAAGGCACATGACTCCTCATGATTTTCCATGTGCTTTCTCTTCCTACTCATCAAATAATACCCAAGTCATCCACTTCCTCCAATTATCCTCCTCCCATGCGTCTTCAAGCACATGTTTCCACTTCCTAGTCATCAACATCCACATGCCTCTCATTTATTCCTTCCTTCCTTCCTTTACCAAGTCACCAAAGTTGCCAACTCATCTCTCAAGGATTCATGATTACCACATCACCTTCTCTTCCAAGACACCAAATCTATCCTATCCCCTCCATTCATTCATTCACAAGTCACCCAAGTTCTCTTCCAACACTACAAGGCCTACAAATCCAACTCAACATGTGCTCAACCATCACCACATGCTCTACTACTATTCAACTCCAACAAGCATCTCTACAATTTCTCAAGAAGGTTCTTCATTGACAACAATGCTTCTCAAGCTTCTTCATCAAGCTCCTCTCCAAGCTCCTTCCAAGCTTCTCCTTCAAGCTCCTCTTCAACTACAAAGGCTCTTCACTAGCAACCAAGTTTCAATGTCTCCAAAAGTTGATACTCTCATGCAACTCTCTTCCAAGGCTACCATTGATGGCTACTCTCTCTATGCATGCCTATGTATCCTTCATGGATCTATAAGGCTTGTACTATACTCCCTTTAATATAAGTTTATGCTCATAAAGCTCTCTCTCACATAGTCTACAAAGTAGTTATCAAGTGAAGAGTAGTCTACCTCATACTCCTTAAGAGTATAAGGAAGCTACAAGCTACAAGCTCAAGGGAGGATCATCATCCAACCCAAGGTTTGAAGTCACTCCCAAGTAAACCATACAAGTTCAAGTTCTTCTTTCAAGTTACTTCTACAACCATCCCTAGTAAGATTCACTCAATTGTTTATCACCTCTCTTATTCTCTCAACAAGCTCAGACTCTTCTTCTCTTCTAAGTTCTTCTCTCATCAAGCATTTCATCTTACACAAGTTTCTCTTTATAGTCACGAGTTCTAAGCATCATCTTCTCTTCCATCAAGCTCATCTACATATGCTACAGTTCCACTGTTCACTCTTGTCTTATTCTAGTTTGCAATCATATTCTTTTGTGTTTATCTCAATTCTCTACAATTTCCACTGTACAGCCCCACTCACCAGAAACGCTTTCATCGTGGGGCGAAAAATCACAAGATGGCGGCTCGACCTCTCTCGCTTGTCACTCAACGATTTCAATCACCTGCTTCTTCACTATCATCGTCAAAGTCGAGCACTGCCTTCCAAGCGCCACATTTCTTTTATACCCAGCTTGCTCTAGTTTGGCTTTCAAAAACCTTCCTCGGCTCAGCAGTTCTTCCCTCTGCTCCATTCTCCGATGGCTCACCTTTCCACTGTCCGAGTCGCCGGCGCCCTGCTGTGCGTGGGATTCGTCCTTCTCGCCCTCGCCCTCACTCCTGCCGACGCCATCACGGGTACATCCTCCAACCTGGACAACGACGGCTCGTGCTACAGCCAGTTCAACTTCCGCGACAGTCCCTATTTCGACAACGGCTTGGTTGCACAGGTGCCACGCAAGATCTTCAACGGCGGCCAGGGCTGCGGTACGTGCTACGAGGTTACGTGTAAGAACCAGCGTGGCTCGAGCTGCAATGGCGGCAAAGTGACAGTGCGAGCGATCGGTCCAAGCGGCGGCGATGACCGCTTCGGCCTCAACAATCCTGCGTGGAGCGTAATCTCCCTCAACCAGTGGGGCGAAATGGAGATTATGTACAGAATCGTGGACTGCCCTAGAGGCGTCAACATGGGGGTTAGACTCTTGCCGTATGCCAATCCGGACAGTTTCGCCCTTCAGATTTTCGGAGCGGCGAAGAAAGAAGGCGTGAAGGCGGTGGAGATAGCGAAGGAAGGCAGCGGCTCGTGGAAGGGCATGAATAGGAAAGATGGGGCCACGTGGGAGCAGTCATCCGCCAAGGACATCGTGAAATCGGGGAGCAAGGTGAGCGTGCGCGTGACTTCAACGGGCGGCAAGCAGGTGGTGCTGAAGGGCGTCATTCCGAGCAACTGGCGCGCTGGAGAGATCTACGGCAGCGATACCAACTTCTAGTTTGGAACGGGTGTCCCCGCCGAGGCGCCACAGTAGTAGTAATGCAATCGCGCTGAAGTGTGGCGCACGATAGTGCTATCTAATAATGCAACTACTATGGTGGCTGAAGGGAGTGAATAAAAGTCGGAGACGCAGGCAAATGTGCATGAAATCTATGGTGGTAATGTCGCTTATTGGACTCGGTTTTTTTGTAAGTGTTGCAGCTGCTTGCTTTTTGTTTTCTTGCACGGGTCATCGTTGCTTTTTATGCTTTGCCATGTTCTTATGTGATGCGATTTACACTACATGAACACCAAAGGAGGAAACGTGTTGAGGTGTACAGTACAACCACCAGGCATCAAGAAGAACCAAAGAAAATGAACGGGCCAACAGTGGCCAGATGGACCCAGGCATCCAGAGTGAGAACAAAAGAAATAGCTTGGACCCAGGAGGTGACCAGCAGGATGGGCTGGGGCAAACGGTTGGCTCACATGGATGAACAAAACCAGGGACGCGGACGGGATGGAAAGTGATATGGATGGGGAGAGGCAAATGGGAAGAAGGCGAGGCTGAACGGATGTGGGAAGGCGATAGGGATGGGATGATCATGATGGAGGGGCAAGGTCCAAGGAATGGGGGATTGGCATGCACACTTTACTCTTGTGTGATACTTGTGCGACGCCTACCAATTGAATGCGGTTTGGAGCCTCATGTCCCCAACTGATTGAAAAAGCATTCTCTCAATGTGGTGTACAAGCAATCCATTCTTTGTTGTGCTTGAAGAATAAGAAAAACCTTATGCATACATGAGCCACGATACTTGTCACTCAGGCTGTTTTTGCATCCGTGCTTCTGCAGCAGCAGCAGCAGCCAGGGCAAGCCTCTCACGGTCCTCCCTGCCTGCATCCCCCTCTGCTCCACCCCTCATCGCCACCACCCGTTCCTCCACCGCCCTGACTTCTCCAGCAGGGCAGGCCTGGGGGAAGAGAGCGGTGACGTCAGCGAGGGTGAGCGAGTCATGGTCTCTGCAGGACAGCGGGCTGGCGGCAGCGTGGGCGGTGGCGAGGGGGGCAGCAGCGGCCTTGGAGCGCGCGAGGGCGTGAATGGGCTCCTCCACCGTGCCATGCACCTGCAGGCAGGATTCATGCAGAGAAGAGAAGAGAACATGCTATGCAACGAAAAGAAATTCACTTTCTGAGTCGACTCCAACAGCCTCTTGTGAATGGGCTCCTCCACCACGCCCTGCACCTGCAGGCAGTGGGGAGGAGGGACGGGTGGAATGGAGGAGTAGGGGTGGGGGATGTGGAGGGTGGAGAAAATGGACAAAATGGTATTCAGACGAAGAGGGATGTGCACAAATGTGGAACACACACAAGCAGTTGGCTGAGTGTTCTGTCAAGCACTGCCACTCGAGATATCCATCCGGTTATTCAGCGCCGTGAATCAAATGAGCACCTTCCCTTGATCAACTGCTGGCAGTGCATCCTGCAACTCCCTGGTGCCTTACAGCAGACCCATGCACGCATGAATGCGCCATCACACAGGAAGACTTAGACGAGCAGCAGGAATGTGCCTTAACGTCGAACGTTGGTGAATCCACAAATCACAGGCTGCTCTCAACGCACCACACGGCCAACACTGCACGAACCACGTACAGCGAAGCAGGCACCAAGGCGCCGCTGCCCGACAGTGCATGCCCGACAGCACATCACCCACACACCACGGCGCTGCGCACTGCACCCGAGCGCATCACCCACTTACAATAAAGCGGTGCACAAAGGTCTGGCGGGTCTGGCCGATGCGGTGCACGCGGTTGGCAGCCTGAGCCTCAGCGGCCGCATTGAGCCCCGGCTCCACAAACACTACGTGCTGTGCCTCCACCACGTTCAGCCCGTTGCCCCCCACCGCCACAACCAGCAGCAGCACACGACACTGTTCCCCATCTCCCCCGCCCCCGGCCCCTCCTGCTTCCCTCCCGCTGCCCTCCCCCCCTTGCGCACTGCTCACTGCCCCCGCTGCCCTGCCTGTGGAAGAGGCAGTAGCAGCAGCGGCCGGTGGGATGGCAGGTGGCAGGGGAGAGGTGAGGGAGCGTTTGCGGCGCTTGGGGCGGGGCTTATGGGAGGGGCGGGTGGGGCGAGCGGAGAGGGCAGCTGCGGGAGTGGCCTCTCTGAAGCGCTTCAATGCTGGAGGCACTTCCCTGGAGACACAAGTGTTCAAGTGTTGAGTTGAGTGGGAGCATGGCAGAACACACCAAGAGATTGAACGAGGATGGAAGAACAAACCAAGGGCTCGAACGAGGTGCAGAAGTATTAACTGCAGAGAAGAGGAGACTCATGTGCCTCTTGTAAGCGCAGGAAATGAACAAGGTTAGAGGTGAGCAGAGTAGAGTGTGTGGGGGGGAAAGAGGGGGGAGTGTGGGGAGGGGTTAGAAAGCAGGGGAAGGGCAAGAGAGCGGGATGGAAAGGTGGGGTGCGCACCGGTGGGAGAAGGCGCAGGCGGTGGGGACGGCATTGGCGTGCAGGCAGTGCTGCACGAGCAGCAGCACCTCCCTCCATGCGCTGAAGATGATGATGCGCGCTGATGGGTCGCTGCGCAGTAACCGTAACACCCGCCGCGTTACCGCGTCCAGCTGGAAAGATGGCCATGGGTTGGCAAAGGGCGGCATGGGTTGGCATGGCATGGAGTTGGAAGGAGGGGAAGAAAGAGGATGATGGGTTGGCATGGCATGGAGATGGAAGAAAAGATACAATACCTTTGGGAAGGCTTTAACAGGCTTTGACCTTAGTAACAGAAGCCCCTAGTAACTCAATAACCCAATGAATCAACAATGGTGTAGACACTGAATCGATCCGTAACTTGGAATCTTGGTCCTTTAGTACCTACTTTGGTGCCGAACCCTGTATGAATGCTCATCTCCTCCTCCTGCATCCGCACTTCATCTCGCAACTCCTGCTCCTCGCCCTCCCTCCCTCCTCCGCCCGCACCACTGCTGCCACCGTGACAGCAGCAACCACGTGCCTCCATGCTTGTATGTGATAGTGCTGCTGCTGATGCCAATGCCGATGATGGTGTTGATAAATTGCAATGGCACGGAGAATTTCGTTGTTCACCGCTTCCAACCGCATCCGACTCCTGATTCGCCTGCAGGGCGCCAGCAGGGTATCCATGGTGATCCCTGCGGTTGTCCACGTAGGCAATCTCCGATGCCCTTGCCACGTGGCGGCATGTGGGGCATCGCATGCGCCGCTCCCTGCTGGTGCTGCTGCTGCTGGTGGTGGCTTGAGGGGACCTCTCTACCAGTAAACATGTACCTGCAGAGATGACATGGCGGGATGGCATGGGTGGATGGCATGGGTGGATGGCATGGGTGGATGGCATGGGTGGATGGCATGGGTGGATGGCATGGGTGGGAGGGATGACATGGTGAGAAGGCATGCTGAGATGTTATGAAACGGTCGGATGCAATTCTGACATGGCATGGTAGAAGTGCTGAGCTTGGTCGGATGGAAGGGTGAGGTGAGAGGAAAAGAGATGACACGGCAAGAGCTCACACATTGACATGAAACGATGAGAAGTGACACAGTGAAACGACGCAATGAGAGATGACACAGTGAACGACGCGGTGAAAGATGGGACAGTGAGATGACGTGGTGAGGGATGAAACGGATGGAGAGCACTCACACTTGCAGCACAGCAGATGGCCGCATGGCAGCACCGACAGCTCACTGCCCAACGCCTCCCTGCACACCGGGCAGCTCTCCTCCTCCCCCTCCTCCTCTCCTCCAACGCTCTCCCCACTCTTACCCTTCCCACTCCCTCTCCCATCCCTCTCCGCCCCACCCATCTCCGTCCCCATGCCTCCCCCGCCTTGCACCGCGCGCCGTCGAGCAGAAGCCAGCCCGCGCAGGTACCTCAGCTGAGCGCGGCTGGCCTGCAGCTGAGCATCGGCTGCCAGCCTGTCATGCGTCAGCACCACGCTCAGCGCCGCCGCCTCCTCCTCACTCACACGTGCCATGCGTGTAGCTGCTGACGTGGCAGCTGGCGGCTCGTCCACGTGGCGGAGCGTGATTCGCGTGACGGCCATGTGCAGCTCATCTAGCGCTCTGAGCACTCCCCTCTGTGCCTCCGACCACGCTCGCGCCATCAGGAACTCCTTTCGCATTGCCTGGTGTGCGGGGAGGGGAACAGCAGCAGATAAAATATGACATTTGAGTCGACTCAAAAGTCGCCTCCGACCATGCTCGGGCCACCAGGAACTCCTTTCGCATCGCCTGGTGTGCGGGGAGGGAGCAGCAGCAGAGGGAAGGCAGCCGCACAAGGCACAGGATTACAGGGGCACAGGAGCATGGAAGGGCGACTGCGAGTGAAAAGGTTTGGAGAATGGATGAGAGTGAAAGGTCAGTCAACGGAAGGTCGACTCATGCAGCGACATGACAAGCAAGAAAATGCTTGCCATGGCAGATGGAATCCAGATAGCATGGCAGATTGGGAGAAGACATCACGACGTGCAGCCCTTCTCGCCTCAAGAGCCACGCCGGTGCATCGCATCTCGCCTCACCTCCAGAGCCTCCAAAGAGCTGGACGCTGCAGCTGCCAGGCTGGCTTGCTCGTCCTCTGGGATGATGCCACGTGGCAGCGATCGCAGCACAGACGCCAGCACAGCGAGGCACCTCTCGGTGTCAGACGGGTTCCACACCACCGTTCCCCCCTTCCCCTCTACCCCACTCGCCCCGCCCCCTGCCTCACCCCTGCTGCCCCTCCCCCTCCCACCCTGCTCCCGTACTGGTGCTACTCCCCCTGCTGCTGCTGCTGCTGCTGCTGCAGCGAGTGGGGTGCGGCGCACGCCGAGAGTGGATTGGAGCACGTGCAGGGGGTCATGGGGCGAGGCGGAGGGATGGGGAGAGTGAGGGTGGTCAGAGGGGGAGGAGGCGGGGAGGGAGGAGGGGGCGGAGGAGAGGCGCAGGTGGAAGAGGCGCCGCTGATAGCTCTGGTAGGGGGTGCAGGAAGGGGGTTGGTAGGCAAAAACAAGGAATCGGAGATTGACAAAGTGGACATACCAAGGTAGTCATCACACTCACCTCCTGCAGCACAGCACACTATGCTGTATTGCATGAGTTTACCCAGTGGAAAGGGATGAAATTAAAACATCACTCTGACCAATTCATAGGACCATCTCACCTCGAAGAACTCCTGTGTCTTGCAGTGCATGCAGCACTCATCCCCCCGACCCACTTCCATCCCCCTCTCACCACCCACCCCAGCCAGCAACCTCCCAGCCCCCCTGGCGTCCGCCCCCTCCTCCTCCTCCTGCACCGCACAGCAGCGCGCACACGAGCCTGCCTGTGCGACGAGGCTGCCGTGCACGCCCTGCTCTGCCACCTGCCCCCCCGCCTGCAGCACGCGGTGCAGCACCTCCCGCCTGCCTGCCAGCAGCGAGTCCACCTCTCCTGCCAGCACCAGCCGCAACCCGTGCAGTGTGCGGAACCTGCCACGAGGGGGGTAGTATTGGGGGAGGGTGATGTGGTAGGAGTGGGACCAGGGAAAAAAAATAAGGCTGTCAACCTTTTTGTCTACTCCCTTTCATATCAATAAATTGGTCATCCCAATCTTCTCCAGTTAGAATTCCCCTTGTGATCGAGCCAATCTGCCAACTCATCCTTGCAAATCTGGTCAAATTCTTACCCAATTCTTTTTCTTCCCTTCCCTTCCTCAACCCAACCCAAGTCCGATTGCCTTCTTTCTTAATCAAACTCTTCATCTTCTTTTCTGACACAAGGTTCTCAGGCTTAGGGTGTTTTCCCCTGTGTAGCCTGTAATCAAGCCAGGGGAGGCGCACCTGAGTCCAAGGCTGGCCATGTTGTGGGTGTGGGCCGGGCAATGGTCGTCGTCCAGTAGCGCTCGGTGCAGGCGTGCCGTGACACTCTCCGCCATGCCGGGCGGTGCGGAGGAGTGCAGTGCGGTGAGGAGCGTGAGCCACCAGGGGGTGGTGGCGGTGGAGAGACGTGCCGCTGCCAGATGGGCCTCTACCTGCCCGTGTGGGGGTGGGTGGGTGGGGAAGTGGGAGCGGAAGGGGGGGGTGTGTGGGGGTTGGGTTTGCAGGCAACAACAACATGCCCGTGTGTGTGGTGCAGTGCATGTGGGTGTGCAGGCGATATCGATGTGTGGGACGGGAATAACAGAGTTGCATTACCACGGATGTGGAAGGTGTAGGTGAAGGGAAGACGGAAAAAGGCATTGACCATTCGCAAGCGTGCCAGGACGGTCAAGGTAGCAACAGGAGCTGCTATGGCGATGACAAAATCGTGATCATCCGGAGAAGAGTCCTCAGCATGTTCTCATGTGCTTCTCTCATCTGCTTCTCCATTCCCACCCCCCCACTCGCCTGAGCAGCAGCAGCGTGTGGTCCCCCACGGGCGCCAGGTATCCTTCACCTCACCGCTCTCCGCCTCTAGCCACGCATCTCTGAGTGAGTGTCGCACCACACCCAATCCAACCCACCTGAGAGTGTGTCTCCTCGAAGGCCCTGTGAGCAGCAGCAGCGCGGCCCCTCACGGGCGCCAGGTACCGTTCCTTCACCTCGCTGCTCTCCGCCTCCAGCCGCTCGTCCCTCAGTGTCCGCACCACACCCAACTCCGCTTCATCGCCACCAGGCCCCACCGCACTGCACCCCTGCCCACCCTCTCCCGTCCCTTCTCCATCCCTGGTGGCGTGCAGCAGGGCGAGCAGGTGGTGCAGGTTGTGCAGCACGTGCAGGCGCTGCAGGGGGTCCGTGCGCAGCACACCGCCTTGTGGGAGGGGGCCACCCACACACAACCCCTTCTCTCTGCCTTCCTCCCCATCCCCATCCCCATCCCCATTGCCATCCCGTCCCCTCGCTGTCTCCCCATGGGCGGGCCCATGGCCATCCATGAGGCGCAGCACGTCACGGTAAATGCCCACCGCCTGCACCGCCCCCGCCCGCCACTGCTCACCACTCTTGTCAATGGAGAGGGGAGAGTGAGAGGAGGAGGAAGGGGTGGGGCGTGAGGAGAGGCGGAGGGGGAGGGTGGGGGCGTGGATGGCGTGGAGGGCAGCGAGGCCGTTGAGGGCGGAGATGAGCAGGCGCTGGGCTTCCTCCGCCTCCACCCGCGCCTTCTCCAACAGCACCTGAGGGCATGGGCGTGATCATGCCATGCCATGCCATGCCATGCCGAGTCGTTCAGCAGAAAAGCCCAGCATTAAAAGACAGGTAGGTACTCAGCTTGGGCGAACGATCTAATGCAAGTTAGAAGGCTTGACAAAGCTGGGGGGGCAGGCACACTGGGGAAACACACGATGGAGCTAAGCAGGTGAAATGTTCCTTACCTCCCACCGTATGCAACAGACATATTTGACTGATTCCCACCTCCCCTCTCTCCCACACCCCCTTGCTCCCACCTGAACCATTGTCTCTCACCTGCACCGCACCTCACCTGCACCACGCATCTCACCTGCACCACGCACCTCACTTGCACCGCATCTCACCTGCACCGCATCTCACCTGCAGCACGCATCTCACCTGCACCGCATCTCACCTGCAGCACGCATCTCACCTGCACCGCATCTCACCTGCAGCACCTCGCCCATGTGCATGGGGCGGCCCTGTGAGCCCAGCGGTCTGAGCCCACCCGAGCCGATCTGAGGGTGGCAACAGGCGTGGCGCAGCAGCAGCAGCGACGCCAGGAACCGCTCCATGTCGCCCCGACATGCACCCGCTAATGACCGTGCCCCCAGTACCAGATGCTGGTGCTGCTGCTGCTGCCACTCTCTTCCCCCTCCCTGCCATTGCTGCTCCCCCTCCGCCTCTGCACCCCCATCCCCATCACCTCTCGCATCTAATCCCACTCCGTCTCCAACTCCTGCTCCGCTTCTCCTCCCTCCCCCCTTCCGTCCCCCGCGTGCCACGGAGCGCAGCATGCTGCTGGCGCGCTGGGCGCACTTGGCGTGCTGCTGGCGGTAGAAGTGCGCCTCGATGGCGCTGAACCGCAGCACCGTCAGCAGCTGCCGCTGAGGTGGCAGCGCCAGCTCGTCCGCCACGTCGGCCTTGTGATGGCGCCACATCAGCCTCAACATGAGGGCCAGGAGCGCGTGCCATGCTGCCATGCATCCATTCTGACGTGGCATTGCCAAAGAGGGGGAGGCGGTGGAGGGGGGGAGGCGTTGGAGAGAAATGAGGGGGGGAGTTAAAGAGGGAGGAGTCGAGACGAGGGAGGGAAAGGGCGAACGAACCCGTGGGCAGAGCACAAGGCACACTTGAACTTGGCAGCACAGTTGAACTTGGCATCACAGTTGAACTTGGCATCACAGTTGAACTTGGCAGCACAGTTGAACTTGGCATCACAGTTGAACTTGGCATCACAGTTGAACTTGGCATCACAGTTGAACTTGGCATCACAGTTGAACTTGGCATCACAGTTGAACTTGGCATCACAGTTGAACTTGGCATCACAGTTGAACTTGGCATCACAGTTGAACTTGGCATCACAGTTGAACTTGGCATCACGTTGACTCAGTCGAACGTTGTGTTTCACACACACTCCATTCTGCTTGTGCCAGTCACCACGTATCACCCTCCCTCCCTCCCTCCCTCCCTCTCTCTCTCCTCGTCATTTCACTCACCCACAAGCGCGCAAAGGAAGTTCTAACTGTCACAATGACGCATCCCAGCACCATTCATTCCCCCCCCCCCCCTTTTGATGATATAACAGCAGCTGCCAACACAAGGTACTCACTCATTCAGTGCAGCCATCCAATGCACCCACTGCTCCCCTCCACCCCTCCTCCTCGCCTCGTCGCAACAGGCTTCTGTTCGAATCGGACTGCTCAAACGCCCATCACCATCCCGTTCGCCCCCACCACCATTCACCCCCACACCGACCCAATTCCACAAACCATCACCAACGCAGCTGACGGGCTCACCTGGATAGGCACCTGGAAAAAATGCCGCCACCAGTGAGGCTCGTCAAACGGCGAGGCTCGGAGGAACCGGAGCAGGCCGAGGAGGTCCGGGAGGCCGCGGTGCAGCGGCGTGCCGGAGACGCACCAGCGGAGCCGTGCTGGCAGGCGGGCCGCCATGAGGGCTGCGTTGGACGCTCCCCCCTCCACCAGCTGCGCCTCGTCCAGACACACCCTCCACCAGTGCAGCCGCGTGAGGGGCGTGGGGCGGATCTGATACCTGGAGGAAGGGGTGGGACGGCAAGGAGGTGAGGGAGGGCGGGCAGGCAGGCCCCATTCTGGCGGCGTTGGAGGCTCTCCCCTTCACCTGCTGCGCTGCGTCCACACACACCCGCCACCACCGCAGCTGTATCAGTGGCATGGGCCGAATTCGGTATCTGGCGGGGGGTATGGTGGGCAGAGAGGTGGGCAGGGGCAAGACGGGTAGGGAGGTGTGGGAAGGCGTGGACAGAGGTGTTCTCTCACCCCCTCTCCTCTTCAGCTTCCAGCCACCCCGTTCCTACAATGCACACATGCACTCTCAGTCGCCCACACTCCCCTCACGTCCCCACCCCTCATCCAGCATCACACCCCACTAACTGTTCCCCTTTACACTCACACCCAGCATCACACCCCTGCCACACACCTCTTCTCATATCTCAGCTGCCGTGTCGCCACGTGCCCCTGCCCACCCACATCGTGCCAGATGTCGCCACGCAGCGTGTCATATGACGTCAGCACGATGTCAGCAGCTGCCAGGTCATCAAGAGTCACTGCAGGCACCTCCTCCCACACCGACTCCAACTCCCCCTCACCGCCACCCACCCCTCCTCTCTCTTCCCCACCTCCGCCACCCAGTCCTCCTTCCTCTGGCCCCGTTTCTCCATCGCCTGATGCTACGCCCACCTGCCCTCCTCCACTCCCGTGCGCTGCTTGCCTGCCTCCTGCACACACTCTCTCCCCATCCCTCCATCCGCTGCCATCCCCGCATTTCCCTTTGCTGCCCGCGCCACCCTTTCGCTCACTGTTCTCTCCACCCACCCGCCTCTTGCCATCCCCATCCTCTCCGCCGCCCCTCCACCTGCCATCTCCTGCCATCCCCTCCCCCCCACCACACTCTCCCACCCTTCCAGCTGTGGCAGACGATGCAGTGAGAGGAGAATCGGAGGAGGCAACGGGAGGAGAGGCAGGGGACGAGGTGAGAGGAGTGGAAAGGAAGGAGGTGAGGGGAGTGGGAGGGGACTGGTCCCCTTCCAAGGGCACGGCTTGAGGGGGTGAGGCGAGGGGTGCGTGGGAGGGCGAGGTAGGGGCGGGGCGGAAGGAGAGGCGCAGAGCGGGGCTGTTGACACCGCGGTACACCAGCACTCCCACTGTGTGGGGCCGCGTGTGCCTGGTGGGCGTGGGAGGATGAGGGGAGAATGGGGGGAATATGGTTTGATAAAACGAGACAGGTTAAGACGAGATGAGGCATGCAAGAAGCACTGAAATTCGATTCACTCAAAGGTAACCAAAACTGATCCGTGGAAATCGAACGCCTGGGCAGGCACTGACCGCACGACCTCCTGTTGCCACTGGGGGAGGATGGCCACCGGACACACGATCAGCGTGCTCCCACACTCCCGCACCTCGCCACCCTCGATGTCCTCCCCTGCCCCTTCCCTTCCTCCCTCTGCCTCCACCTGCTCGCCACCACTAAACCCCCTGCCACTCCCTGCTGCCGTCCCCTCACATCCCCCTCTCCCTCGCTTCCTATTCCTGCTCTCCTTCCCCTCCTTCCTTTCCCCGTCCTCACCCCCAGTATCTCCACAACCCCCACCACCCTCCTTCCGCCCCTTCCCCCTCATCCCTTCTCTCCCCCTCTGCATCCGCTGCCCCTTGCTGTGCCACGTCACACCCTCCAGAGGCCCCTCCATTGACTCTCGTTGCTGCTCTGCCTGCCCTCCCCGAGCCGCCTCTGCCCCTCCCCTCACCTCCTGCGTTGCCAATGCCTCTGCGCCACTCCCTGCACTGCGGCAGCTCATGCCGCTGCTGCTGCTGCCCATACTGCTGCCACTGCGCCTCTTGCGGCTCCTCCTATCCTCCTCAACCCCCTCCTCTATCTCCCCACATGCCCGCCCTCTCTCCACCACACCCTGTACACACCTCGGCACTCCCCTCTTCTTCCCCACCACCCCTTCCTCCTCTCCCCCCTCCCTCCCCCGTTTTCCAGATCTCACCCTCTCTCCCTGCAACACCCCTTTCTCAGCCTTCTCTGCCTGCCCCCTGTCCCCTCCGCCCCCACCGCACTCACTGCCCCCCCAGCGGTGGGCGAGAATGCAAGCAAGCACCTCAACGGTCTTCCCCAGCCCCATCTCCTCCGCCACAATGCCTCCCCTCACTGCCCCTGCCACTTCCCCCACCCACCCGCACACACCACTTCCTGAACCTGCAATCACCGGACTTTGGCTCACCGAACCTGGACTCACCGAACCTGGACTCACCAATCCAGGACTCACCGAACCAAGGCTCACCGAGCCTGGGCTCATAATACCTGGGCTGGTACCCAAACTTACCATACCTGCACTTGCCAAACCTGGGCTTGACGAGCCTGCATTCACCATATCTGGACAGGTGACCCCTAGATTTACCAAGTCTGTATTCACCGAACCTGGACCCAAAGAAGAGCTAACTTGATGCATCTCCCCGTCGCCCCTCTCCCCCCTATGCGGCCTTGCCTCTTTCCCCTGCAGCTGCCTCTCAGCCCTTGCACATGCGGCGGAGGGGGGAAGACGAACGAATGTGCCTCTGGCAAGGGGGTATGCAGAGAAGGGATGGAATGGGGATGGAGATGGGGATGGGGATGGGGATGGGATAGAAGGTTCGGCAGTTAGTAAAAAGGAGGGGTGAGACGGTGCACGAGGCAAAGCAAGGAAGAAGCAGGAGGGGCGGCAGCACTCCCCACACACACGCTGCACGCATCTGCCACGTGCCGAACTGGGTGGTGGGGTGGGGACGCAGGAGCGTGCTGATGGCCTAACAGTCTGATGGCTCGCTCGCCCACGTGCTGCAAGATGACTTTTGAGTCGACTCAAAAGTCAGTCTGATGGCTCGCTCGCCCACGTGCTGCAAGATGACTTCTGAGTCGACTCAAAAGTCAGTCTGATGGCTCGCTCGCCCACGTGCTGCAAGATGACTTTTGAGTCGACTCAAAAGTCAGTCTGATGGCTCGCTCGCCCACGTGCTGCAAGATGACTTTTGAGTCGACTCAAAAGTCAGTCTGATGGCTCGCTCGCCCACGTGCTGCAAGATGACTTTTGAGTCGACTCAAAAGTCAGTCTGATGGCTCGCTCGCCCACGTGCTGCAAGATGACTTTTGAGTCGACTCAAAAGTCAGTCTGATGGCTCGCTCGCCCACGTGCTGCAAGATGACTTTTGAGTCGACTCAAAAGTCAGTCTGATGGCTCGCTCGCCCACGTGCTGCAAGTCGGGTCAAAAGCCACCTCGTGCCCCACCCCTCTCACACACCATGGACCACGCCGGCGAGCAGGCGGGGAGGCGCAGAGGAAAGGAGGCGAGCAGGGGGGGAGGCGAGCAGGGGGGGAGGCGAGCATGGTAGTATGAGGTGGCTCACACACAACACAAGCACGCACAGGAAGGGGTTGTAGAGGAGAGTGGCGGCAGAGCAAGTGCTGGTGTGCGGCAGGCGCGGCAAAGGTTCAGTGCTGGCGCTGCCTGCTGCTACCTGCCGCCACAACGGGTGCTGCTCCGCTCCCCACCATTCCACGCGCTGCCGCTGCTGCTGCACTGCATCCCCCTCCCCACTGCCACTACGACCCCCTATCTCACCCTCCCCTGAACCGTGCCCGCCCTGCTCGCGCTGCAGCATCCATGCCACGGCCCGGCTCTGGTACGGCCTCAGAGAGGGTAGCAGGGCGGCAGGACACGTGGCGAGGGGTGGAAGGTTCCTGAAAAGAGCGAGGAAGAGTTGAGAGCAGTGAGTGAGTCGGTGTGTGAGAGCAATCATGCTGGACTGGACACAATGGAAGTGGATCGATCTAAGGAAGGAAAGAGCATCGACGGAAAGGGTGCCACGCACCTGCTGGGACGCACAGCAGCATAGAGCTGCGCGAGGTCAAAGCAGCTGCCCGCATGCCCCCTGCCATGCACGCTCCACCTGGCCTCTGCTGCACCAGCCACTCCCTCGTCGTCACCAGCAGCAGAGGCACAGGTAGCGGCACCACCCATTGTCACGCCTGTGCTGCTGTCCTCATCACTCAACCCCTTCCCTATCTCCTGTCTGCTCTTCCCCTTACCTCCACCCTCTCCACCCAGATCAGCAGCCACGTCAGCAGTAGCCAAGCCAGGAGCATCAAGTCCTGGCTGGCAGGCGCAGGGTGGGGTGGAGCAAGCATCCTGCCTCGTGCTTCCACGCGCATCCTCCACCTCATCCCCATGCTCCTCCTGCCTGTGCACATGCATATCCTGGGACGCCTCACAGCTCGCATGCGTGCATGTGAGCGTAAGTGCATGTGCATGCAAACATGGGGGAATGGGGGCGTGGGGCAGGGCGAGGGGGGCGAGGCGGGCCATGAGGGCGCGCATGTGGGGCGCATGGGAGGGGCGGCGCACAGAGTTGAGCAGCGGGGAGAGCAGAGGGGCGCGCACGTCCGGTAGGGGCAGAGTGGGGGCGAGGCTGCGGGGGATGCCCACCGCCACCCAGACGCACCCACACAGGCCTGACTGTGATTCATATGCCCCTGCACCTGCTTCCGCTGGGCGTGCTTCCGCTGGGCGTGCTTCCGCTGGGCGTGCTTCCGCTGCTGTGCTGTTGTGGGCTGCAGCAACGAGGTAGGGTGTGGCAGTAACGAGGTGCCTCTCTGCGAGGTACAGCAGCGCGTGCAAGGCACGTGGGTGCTGCAGCTGCCTCACCTCACTCGCCTTCACAGATACTACTATCTCCGCCCTCTCCCCTCCCTCCCCCTCCCTTCCCTCCTCGACCCCTCTTTCCCTCTCCCCTCCCTCCTCGTCCTCCCACTCCTCGCACTTCTCCCATTCCTCACCCCCAACCCCTTCCCCTCCCCTCCCTTTTTCCGCCTCTCCATCCCTTTCCCCCGCCCCTCTCCCTGCGCGCTCTCCTGTGCCCTCCCCTGCGCGCACCACGTGAAGCACCACGTCCTCCGCGCGCACCCGCGGCACCTGCGCGCGCCCACACGGCCGCGAGCGCGACGGCTCGCCGCCCGCGCGACGGCCCTCCCGCACGCTCAAGCACGCATGCAGCCTCGCCCGACCCGCGCCGCCCTCTCTCCCGCGCGCTCCTCTGTGCGCCTCTATGAATGCTCGAAGAACGGCTAGGCGACCCAGCGGATCGCCACCATCGAGTATTTCGCTATCGGGTATGTCGCTATCGAGTATGACACTACCGGGCGTCGCGGTAGGCGCGGCGCCGCTAGTAGGCGGGGCAGCGCAGCCGCTGCAACGTTGCTGGGCGGGAACGTGGAGAGGAGTGCGACGAGGATGAGATGACGGCGTGAATGGTCCCAGTAACGCCACGTCGGCACCTTCAGGGTCCCCTAGCTTGACCCATATTGTGCGCCAGTCGCCGGATTGGCTGGCTAGCTGGCTGCCGCCGCTACCGTTGCCGTCAGGTCTGCGCTGACTGCCGTCAGTTTGCGGAACTACACGCCTGGGTGTGGAAATAGATGCCAGAGACACGTGAGTGACTTCCAAATCTAACGGCTGAGATTCGCCGACATCGGATGGCGTGCAGGCGCCGCGCGAGGCTCGACTGCGAGACGGGTTGACTTGTTTTCGACGCGCCATGGTTGCGATGCGACCACGCAGGACTAAGAATGATGAAGTCTAACGGCTGCGTCAATGTGACGAGAGTTTATCATGTTGGCTGGGGGGAGGTGTGGCATGGTGCAGAATAGACAGGGTAATATCCTACCACATCAGTACCTCTGTTGTTATGGGGGGGTCAGAAATGTTTTCTTATAAATCACCGTAGGTGTATTCTAACAGGTTCTAATACTGGTTTGAGCTCATTATACTAGAATTATACCATGTGATTTTGCATTGTGAGAATCTTCCAAAACCTGCCAGAGATCTTGCATTGCATACCGTGTGGTGCAATGCAATGCACCTAAGAGTAATAAATAAGAGTGCACCTAAGGCTAAGAACACTTTCTACAGACAGAGCCTTGTACGGTACATGATTTCGAGGCAGCGTTGCAGATACTGTGTGCCAAGGGCCACCGCAGTGGGCAGTGGGCCTACAGATGGATGAGCGGTAGACTTGCAGCAAGGTACGCCTGAAGGGGCTGTGGGTACTGTGGGGGAGAGCCGGAGAGAAAGAAGAGAGGTGGAGAGGAAGGTGAGGGGCGAAGAGAAAGGCGAACGGCAGAGGCAGAGGAAGAAGAGGGGCAGAGGCAGAGGAAGGAGAGGGGCAAAGAGGGGAATGGAAGAAGAGCTCATGAAGGGGGGAAAGCGGGAGGAGGCTGTTACGGGTGCAATGAATCAAAGTAGCGAGAATTGCACTAAGGTGTCAAACGAGTACAAAATGTGAGCGAAGGCATGAGCGAACATTTATACGCGAAACATGCAAACGGTAACGCGGTGCGTGCGAGCTAGCTAGTGCTACGCTGGAAGTGAGGCTCGGGCTAGTCCCGAAGCGTAGGCCGACACGGCCAGGCCAGCAGTGCGAGGTTTGGTGAAACAGTGCGCGCGAAGTCGGCGAAGCCCCGTTAGCAGTAACGGGCGAACAACGGCTGCTGCTGTCCGCGATGTTGCAGGGCGCGCTAAGGAATATCGAGAAAATTCCTTACACTACCCCCCCCCCCTCAAGAAGCCCCCTCCGCTACGCGAGTGCGTGTATATCGCGGAAACCCCGGCTCCTCAGGTACACTTGCAGGGCAGGGTGGTTTTCGATGTTGGCCAGGGGCACCCAGCTATCTTCAGTTGGCGTGCGATCCTTCCAGCGAACGAGGAATTCAATCCTCCTGATTCCGTGGGGTGTCGAATCCGATGGCTCAGGATTTTTTCGGGTTCGATGATCGGTTCCGATGCAGGGCGAGTCATGGATGGCGGGCGGTGACGAGGCAGTTGGCTTGTGGTTGGGATGTATGGGCGAAGCAGGCTGACGTGGAACGAAGGGCTGATGTACCAGTCTGTTGGCAACAGTAGGTGGGCTGTCACTGGGGTAATCATGTGGCTGATTTGGAATGGTCCACAGTAGCGGGGTCTCAATTTCGGTAAGACGGGCAGTCTTAAGTTCGGTGTATCGAGGAGTACGTAGTCTCCCGACTGGTACGTGACTGGGCGGCGGTGGCGGTCAGCGTTGCGCTTAGCGATGACATTGGCCTTTTTAATTGCTTCTGCGGCTCTGGTGCGGGCAGCTTGCAGAATTTCGGCGAATTGCTGTGCGCGTGGTGTTGGGTTGTCCGGACTCGGCGTCATGGGCACTGTAGGGTTTTGCCCGTAGTTCAGGCAGAAGGGGGACTGCTGCGTCGTCGCTGACGTGGCGTTGTTATACGCGAACTCGATCAGTGGTAGCTGCTGCTCCCAAGTGGTCGGGTCGTCGCACGTGGCCCGAATCAACTGCTCCATCGTCTGATTCGTCCGCTCCGTTTGACCGTCGGTCTCGGGGTGGTACGACGAGCTGAACTGTAGCCTTGTCCCGAACTGCTCCCAGAGGTTTTTCCAGAAGTTGCTGGTGAACTTCGTGTCGCGGTCGCTGATTATCGCGGCTGGTATCCCGTGCAGTCGAACGACGGCTGCGATGAACAGGCGGGCGGTTTCTTCGGCTGAGATCGATTTCTTCCACGCAGCGAAGTGTGCCATCTTCGTCAACCTGTCAACGCCGACCATAACCGCGTCGTTACCCCCAGGGTTCGAAGGTAGCCCTGTGACGAAATCCATGGTAACCTGCTGCCAGGCGCGCTCAGGCGGTGGAATCGGCTGCAACTGACCCGCCTTTCTTTTTCGCGAGCTCTTCATCACCTGACACGTGGGACACGAGCCCACGTGGTGCTGTACGTCGGTCAACAGCTCCGGCCAGTAGTAATACCGCTGCAGTTGCTGTCGCGTTTTTTCTACCCCGAAATGTCCAGAGGTAATCCCGTCGTGTGCCTCCTGCAGCAACAGTTCCCTCAGTAGTGAGTACGCGGGTACCCAGATGCGGTTGGTGCCTGTTTTTACGTAATAGACTCCTCTGTCCTCTGCCATGTCAGACATACATGATATAGCCTGTGTAGGCTGTAGTGGGGTAGCCAATAGGGGGTACAGCTTTTCTAGGGTTTCATACTTGTACCTTTCCCATTCCTAGTCAATCCATTCCTCGTTCTTATTCTCACATGGTATTAGAGCAGAATCGTTCCTAGGGCCCACCGAACGTTCTGCCCTGCCCTAACTGATTTTTTTTTTCAGCTGCCCCTACAGCCGTGCCTGCCCCTGCAGCCGTGCTTGCCCCTGCAGCCGTTCCTGCCTCTGCAGCCCGTGGGAGCTGCCTCTGTAGCCCGAGCGCCGCCCTCCCGAGCAGCTGTGCCTGCCCCTGCAGCCGTGCCTGCCCCTGCAGCCCGTGGGCGCTGCCTCTGCAGCCATGCCTGCCCCTGCAGCCCGTGGACGCTGCCCCTGCAGCCGTGCCTGCCTCTGCAGCCCGTGGGAGCTGCCTCTGCAGCTCGCGCGCCGCCCTAGACCCTGCTCTTCGCGACGCCCCTGCGGGACCCGCGCGGCGTCCCCCCCTGCTCGTCGCGACGCCCCCTGGACGCCGCCCCTACTCGTTGCGGCGCCCCCGAGGCGTCGCCCTTACTCGACCTACCCACCCATCGTGGCCCTGCCCTGCACCCGCCCCTGGTAAGCGCCCCTGCTGCCCGTCGCGTCGCGCGCCGCTGCTGCCCGCCGCGCCGTGCGCCCCTGCAGCCCGTCCCGTCACACGCCCCTGCAGCCAGTCGCGTCGCGCGCCCCTGCAGCCTGTCGCGTCGCCCGTCGGCCCTGCCCGTGCCCGTCGCGTCGCCAGAGCGGGCTGCCCCAGCCCGCCGCGACGCCCGTCCGCCCTGCCTGGCTGCGTGCCGCCCCTGCCCGCCCCGCGACGCGCCGCCCCTGCCCGCCCCGCGACGCGCCGCCCCGTGCAAGCCGCCCGCGCGCAGACCCTTGCAGCCCGCGCGCCGCCCGTCTGCAGCCCGCGAGCCTCCCCTGCAGCCCGCGAACCGCCCCTGCAGCCAGCGCGCCTGCCTCTTGCAGCCAGCGCACTACCCCTGCAGCCTGCGAGCCACCCCTGCAGCCCGCGAGCCGCCTCTGCAGCGCCGAGTACGCCCTGCCAAACCCTAAAACAAATAAATAATTATTTACAAAAAAAAAAAAAAGAGGAGCCCTAGGTGCTGCTGCCCTAGGTGCTACTGCTGCTACTGGCGGTGGCCAGATGCAGCTCCAGCGACGTCCGCTTGAGTCCCTCACGCCCCAGCAGCTTCGTGAGTGGTACGCTAGTTGGGGTTGTAGGGGTGGCCGCGCTGCTACTGCTGCTACTGCTGTTCCTGCTGCTACTGCTGTTCCTGCTGCTACTGCGGCTACTACTGCTACTACTGCTCCTGGCGGTGGCTAGATGCAACTCCAGCGACGTCCGCGTGAGTCCCTCACGCCCCAGCAGCTTCGTGAGTGGTACGCTAGTTGGGGTTGTAGGGGTGGCCGTGGTGGGAGTCGCCCTGGAGCGGGTCGTTCGGGAGTTTCTTGTAGTGACCACGTGCAGCTGCAGCAGCGTCCGCGCACGGTCGTTTCGCCCCAGCAGCTTCGTGAGTGGTACGCTCAGAGTGGAGGGTCACGGAGTACTGCTCGCTGCCCGTACGTCATTCGCACTGGTGCTCGGGCTGGTCAGCCTTGCGGGACGATTGGTCACACAGAGTCCCGCTGCTTCTCCCGTCTGAGCGACGCCTGGCGTACAGAGTTTGGCGACGCGGCTGAGCTCCCCGACAGGGTGGAGCTACTTAGGCAGAGGGTAGATATCTATGCTCTTGACTATGATGCTATCCTCACTGCCATGTATGCATTGCCTACTAGTGCTGAGGGTGCCTGTTACCTGTGTGTGCCGCCTGACCCAGGTATCGAGTCTGCTGCTCTAGGTGCTGGTGAGGCTGTTGCTCTAGGTGCTGGTGCGTCTCCTGCTCCAGGTGCCGGTGAGGCTGCTGCTCTAAGCGCTAGGGAGTCCACTCCTCCAGGTGCTGGTGAGTCTGCTCTCTCTGGTACTGCGCCTGCTGCGGCCTTGCACACTTTCACCCTTGACTCAGGTGCTTCCCGCTCCTTCTTTCGCGTCTGCACCACACTCTCGCCGCTCAGCCGGCCGGTGGCAGTCTCTTTGGCTGACCCCTCTGGGGGTCCGGTCCTTGCCCACTCCTCCACGGTTCTGCCGTGTCCGGCGGTCCCGTCTGGCTCACTGTCTGGCCTCCACCTCCCCTCGTTCTCCACGAACTTGGTGAGTGGAGCTGACCTTCAGAACACGTGGGTTGACCAGTTCACTCCTGGAGGTCAGCGGGTGACCCACTGTTCGTGTGCTCGGACGGGCCGGCACATGGCCACGTTCACCCGTCAGCCTGGGTCGAGCCTTTACACCCTGACTACCGTGTCTCCTCCGGTTGCTGGGTCTGGTCAGGTAGCTGCGTCGGGTCAGGTGTTTGCTGCAGCGTCCCGGTCTGGTGAGTCTGCCCCCTGCTCGTGTCGCCTCCTGTCTCACCAGACTCTCCTCTGGCACCACCGCCTTGGTCACCCCTCCCTGCCTCGTCTCCGAGGCATGGCCTCCCGTGTCCTTGTCTCTGGTCTCCCCCGGTCTCTCCCTCCCCTTCCTCCGGGGCCTGCCCCTACCTGTGTTCCCTGCGTCGAGGGCCGGCAACTCGCCGCTCCTCACTCCTCCGAGTTTCCTCCGACAGAGGCTCCGCTGCAGACTCTCCACATGGACGTGTGGGGCCCAGCCCGCGTCCGTGGACAGGATCACGAGCGTTTCTTCCTGCTGGTTGTTGACGACTACTCGCGTTACACCACAGTCTTCCCCTTGCGCCGCAAGGGTGAGGTCACTGAGGTGTTGATCGACTGGATCTGCGCTGCCAGTCGTTAGCTTAGAGAGAGTTTCGGCTCGGACTTTCCTGTTCTGCGTCTGCACTCCGACAGAGGTGGAGAGTTTTCCACCGACCTTCTACGAGCCTTTTGTCGTGCGGAGGGCATCCGCCAGACGTTCACGCTTCCGGCCTCTCCACAGCAAAATGGGATTGCTGAGCGCCGCATTGGCATGGTCATGGACGTCGCTCGTACGTCCATGATCCATGCGGCTGCTCCCCATTTTCTGTGGTCGTTCGCGGTCCAGTACGCGGCGCATTAGATCAACCTCCAGCCCCGGGTCTCCGTGCCGGAGACCACACCTACTCTGCGGTGGACGGGGAAGGTTGGCGATGCGTCTGCGTTCCGTGGCTGGGGATCTCGAGCTTTCGTCCGCGACT